CTACCGCGACTTACTGAAGCTACCTCAAAACCTAAACCCTTCACCAACAAGGCCAGGCATCGGTTGCGCTAGACAGTTGAAAGGCTGCATTCATGGGTGGACTTCGGCGTCAAAGCCTTGTTACGAACTTGCTACTTACTGCTGTAGTCCCTGGGACATCTTCAGAAGAAAACATACTGACCAACATCAGTCTTCACAGCACCTTCGAACTCACTATCCGATTCTTCAATCCTGCCTCCGCCCTGCAGTCCACAAGCTGTAGCCAGCCCTAAACCCCCCAAAGGCAAAGGCCAAGCGAGCCGGCAGCAAGCCCCACGCACCCCAAACCTCAAACATCGAAGCCCTATCCCGAGAATCCCAAAGCCATTAGAGTACTATGCTACTCACGGAATGCTGCGGAACGTTTCTAGCGATCGTGTCTTCCGGCGTAGACAGCACTGAATCCGCGCCTTCCATGTGAAGGTGCCCTCGCCTTCGACCTTATCGGGGCTCTTCCATCGAAGAAACAGCGTTCCCTTTGGTGGAGATACGAGGGGTTGCAAAGATAAGGCGCCGGAAGGTAGACCACCAGCAATGGGCTACCAGGGCCGCCATTGCAACGATTCAACTTTGGGAGGGGTTTGGGGTGCCTGGATGTCACAATCTCCTTAGGCCACTTAAATGGAAGCAAACACGAGCAAAATCTTGAGTTCCGAGGCAGGCTAGCTCGGCTTGGCAACTTCATAAAATCGTTCTGACCTATGACTATGGAAGAACGGGAGGGCTCCCGGCGTTGTTGTTGCGAAACTCGCCGTCATAAACGGAGCCGTCTGGCCACTCGAATCTGCGGACACAGCGGCAGAGCATCTGAACTAAGTGCCTAGACGAACCGCTGGAAGGACATCGCGAGTTGATGTCAAAGCCCCCCTAACGTGGACCATGCCCAGGTCAGAGGTGCTATTAGACGTAAACCCGCTGACAGTCTTCTGCAAGTGGTGAGTGAAATCTAGCATTTCAGGAATGTATGATTGTGTTAGGGACTTTAACCGTTACAGAACGTAGGTGGCTAAGGGAAATTGCCGTGGAGTAGTGGTTCGGCGCTCTCTGGCCTGGAACCCACAGAATCGCCTGGGGGCTGAAATTCTAGTCTCATGCACGGCGGCGCCCTTCATAAAGGAGTATAGTTAGGGGGCTTCCTATAATGTGATTTGCTTTGTGCAGGTATACCTGAACTGTCGTGGTTTGGGGACTCCCTTGTAGTAATTAAGCGGGTTAGGCCCGGGTGTAGGGTTGGGGTGCTTTTGAAATTGTGATTGTGGTTTCAGCGATACCCTCCCACGCACATGCAGGATCGCAGCAAGCAAGGTCGCTACAAAAGACTAGCGCTAAACAGACGAAGATTGATATGGTCGTAAAGCACGCATCTCGAAACCGTCATGCCCATCTTGAACACAAGATCCGACACCCTTCACAAGAAACCCTCCGGCTTGGGACCAGAACCCTAAACCTCAAACCCAGGGCTCGGACCCGAGCCGTGCCCTGAACCCCGAACCCAAAACCCCTGAGCCACAGACCCTATAATCCCTCAAGTACACAGTTGATTCAGGGTTCAGGGTTTAGGGGCTTGGGCCCTGGACCTTGGACTTTAAACCCGAAGAGGGCAAGCCTGCCCTTGCCGTGCTTCTGCCCGTGGGAGTAGGTCCCGGTGTACTTGGACGTGTCATCCCACTCCTTCGGTTTGGCTTTGCGTTTGGGGGTTTAGCGCTTAAGGTAAACCCTAACCCCTAAACCCCAAGCCGAAGAAGTTTGGGAATCCTCGCGTCGCATAGAAACCCTGAGCCCCTAAACCCAGAGTCTTGTTCAACCCCTAAACCGCTGACAGACCCTCACTCACAGCACTTAAGCCAAAATTCTCAAGAACGCTTCAAGAAGCCCGAAAAGCCCGAAACCGTAAGTCCAACCTAGGCCCTTAAGCTAGCCGGTATCCTCCTAGTCCTTGAGGTATACTGTACTTTGATATGGTCTACTAAAACTTGGTATACAGTATAGTATATCATAATAGAAACATACTATAACATAAGCCCTAAACCCCTAAACCCTAAACCCCTAAACCGTATCATCACAGTCCTTGAGGGAGCCCCTAAAACCCAGCGGAGGCGCCTCGACGGCTTGGCCGTGCTTCAAATCGCTCTGCCACTCGCCAACATACTTCGACCTGCAATATGCCATAATCGTATATACTATACCATCATGGGTTACCATAATAGAAACTGATATACTATGACCATCATAAAATCGAGTAAAATGGAATAGAACAGAATTAACCTCTCGGCTGATTTGCGGCTCTTCTGTGGGTTTTGCGCCGGCTTCTTTTGGGGTTCGATCATGTGGGCTCTAAGTGGGTCTTAGGGTTCAAGCTTCCTATAAGGTTTGGGGTCTTCGGGCTTTGCAGCTCAGGGTCTCACAGATCAGGGTTAAGTCAACGCCTTCGGGCCCAGAGCCTTAGGGTAAAAGCCACATGAAACCATATTCCAACTTTCTGGAGTTCCCTGTAAGGTTTAGGGGGTACGCATTCGGCCTTGCCAGTCGAGCAAGCTATGTAGCAATAAAGGGGGGAAAAATAAATGCCAATGGGATTTTGGGGGTTCCTTATGATGATTAAAGTATAATGGGCCCCAACACCTTATTCTAATTATTAAGGCCCCGATGATAGGGTGCTGCTGGCGCTGTGCCTTATCAACAGACACCCTATGTATGCATAGATATATAGCCAAGTGCGCAACCCATTGTGCTGGTCATCAGGCGTCTCCAGGCTTTGCTTCTTGTTTAAGGGCTTCAGGAGTTCTATTATTATTATTATTATTACTATTATTATTACTATTATTATTATTACTATTATTATTACTAGTATTATTATTACTATTATTATTATTATTCTTATTACTATTATTATTTTAGGGCTTCAGGAGTTCAGGACCTAAGCTTGCGGCTTCAAGGCCTGTCTTGAAAGAACCTTCGAGCTCCATTTGTTGATCCGTGTGGCAACCCGAAACTTGTAACCCAGAACCCACCCCCCCCCCCCCAAAAAAAAAAAAAAAAAAAAAAAATATATATATATATATATATTATATTTGTATGCTGTTATATTCTTTCCTATTCGATTCTATTTCAGTTTGTCACATCACATGTGCATAACTTATCATAGTATCCTTTTCATCCCAGCACCGAGGCTTCCGCTGCTTGGAGGTATACGTCCCATGACCTGGGTCGGAACTTCTGGGCTCCGCGCTTTCAGAACTGGAAAAATCCCTGTGAAGGTCTAGAGTCTATACTACCCTAGCACGGTAGGAAGGGCCTCAGAGATTAGACTAGGGTTTCGGGTAGACCAGGGTATACTGAGTATACCTATGGTAGCTCATCGTAGGAACCTCAAGGCATCGCATGAGTATGTAGTGCGGTTGGAATATTACCAGTGAGACTCTGCGAGCAAGTAGGATGTCATGGGTCAGAGTGAGAATGCATATTTCAACTGGGTTTGGGGCAACCAGGTGGGCGGCGTTGAGTGAGTTTGGGGACCCAGTACGGATTTCAAGGTCGGGCCCGAGTGTTGGCATTTTCCGAAAATTGGGATGTCTGCATCTGCTTGAAGGCTTGCATACTCAAAACAGATGCTTCAGGATACGTGCTAACCCGAACCCCTGCTTCTTAAACCCTGAACCCTGACCTCAAAACCCTTAAGGCATAAACTGAGTCAGGTGGAGATGATGCAAAAGAGGGCCACATTGGGACAGAGTGGGGCTCAGGCTGCTACCGAACTAGATACCGACTTGTTGAAAGCTTTTTTTGGCGGGGGGTTCGGGTGGCTCACGAACAAAGGTAGTGCAACTGTGCAGAATATGGTACGTCACAGGCTGTGCTATGTTATCTATCGAGGGATGTTGGCGGAAAGCCTCCTGCGATATTGCTCTTGGCCTGATTCTTTGGTGGAATTTACGATAAGGCTAAGGCTTACCAAAGTTCTTTCAAAGGATTCCACAAAGGGCTACTATTTTGGTTAACACGCTAGTAGGGTTTCTAGGGCGGTCCTGTGTTCTAGTGGTTCTAACAACTGTTCCAGCTTTGCAAAGCCCTAACCTAGAACGACTCTCTTACATATTAGGGGCTTTAGGGGCTTACTAGGGGCTTCAAGGGTTTATCAGGGGTTTTAGGGGCTAAGTGAGATTTCTCATCTGTCTTATGGACATCTCGGCATTAGCATGCGTTTTGCGTGTATGGGTGTGATGGCTTTCGGCAATCTGTTTTAGCATTTTTTCTGAGCATGCACATAGTGGCGACTATGTAGGTATCGGCAAAATCCTGTTGACATCTCCATGTAAATACATATATATATATACATATATATATATATATATATAGTATCTATAACATGCCCATTCCTGTCTTTTTGCAGTTGTTGTACACACGAAGATATTGCATGAGATCTGCAAGCAATGTTTATCGACAAATACCTCAGCCACTCCTGTTCAAAGGCTTTGTGCCAAGCGCTGTACAGACGCTTTGTGCTATACACTGTACAGACGGCATAAGCCTGCACTGACCATGGCATGGGAGTTGTTCTATGACCTGTGATGGTTCATTCTTGATCCCTTTCTTGACATCCTAGTTCCTTTGTGTTGGGGGTACCCGCACCCTCAAGGAATTTGGATATAAGCCCTAAACAGGAGCCCCTTATAGAGCAACCCACCACTTCCTTGCAGAGGCTCTGAACAACAACATAGGGTTGAAGAGCCACGCTGCTCGAAAGAAAATCCCAGCGCACTAAAATGGAACTTTTCCAAGAAGTAGGGGCTCCGCAGCCAGTAGAATCCTCACCCCAAGCACAGCTGACTTAAGACGGCACCCTACTCCTCGAAAGCTCTCAAAATCGCATTCTGCATGATGCTCCTGCGACTGTACAGGGCTCGGGGCTGTTCCTCCAAGCCACTCCCGTCGCATCCCAAACGCTGCTCTTCACTCGCCCTTTAACAACGGTGCACGTATGCTGCACAGAGCTGGGGCAACGTCGAGGCTTCCTGATCGTCCCGTGGCTGCGGCACCTCCGGCGAAGCCGCGCCCATCTCGGGACACCCGGCGACACAAAAGCACACCTTGGCTGACTTCTGAACCCCTCCTAAAAGCTAAACTTTCAGCCACCTTATTATAGTTCACACCTTATTATAGTTCATATAGAAACCCAAAAAGTTAAAGTCCTAAGAGCCAACCAGAAGAACGCCAAGACACGTCGTGGTCATAACCGGGCATTGGCCAGAGCCCCTGAAGAGACAAGATGCTACAGATGCGCTCCTTCACTCGAAGGATCGTGTCACCAGGTTCCGGATAGACGACTGCCGTTCCGAACATCCGACCAGCACTCCACCCATCCTCATAGAAGCAGAAGATGACCGAACGCTCAAGTTCTTGAGCCTTCATGAAGGCCAGCCTCCTTTCCACATCTGCGAGCACGTTCTTTGAATTCGTAACGAAAGCCTTCAACTGAGATGGATCGTCAGTTTGGGGGGGACCGTAGTTGGTGCCCCACCCATTGCGTAGTGCAATTTGCAAAGCACCGCTGTGGCGCCTCTCTGCCTCATACAACGCCTTATAGTCAATGCCTTCATCCATCATGACTGTAGGGAAGCACTAGGTTGCGCAACCTGGTGCAGGCTTGAGACAAAGCTTCTGGCACACGCACTCGCCCAAGCTAGAACCGCGACAACGTTTTCATGGAGGTGAAAGATCCTGAAGAGTGAAACATGTAAAGACATGAGCAGAGGCGCTTAACCCTAAACCCAGAGTCAGATGGGTGGTTGTCAAAATTATGGTCCCTTTTTGGGTCCCTATTATAATGCGGCACCTATTACTTAGGGTACCCAATAAAGGACCCTAATTTTGACAACCACCCAGATATATTCCAGGGACACACGCCACCTGTAGTCCACTCCCAACAGCTGAGCATGCAGCCATGTGCTTTGCCATCCTGCCACTCTCCTGGGCGAAGGAGGAGGTGCTCTCTGCTTCGAGTTTGGGTTTTGGGTGTAGGGTTTAAGGTTTTGGTTTCGGGGTTCATTCACCTCGCTAGGCGTGCAGGGATGTGCATCTATGGCTTGGGGCTTAGATTTCTGGTCGAAAGGGTTTGTGGCCTACTTCGGGCAAACATGAGTGCCCTGCTTCGTGCTAAATGGTGGCCCAGCGTTCCAGGACGGTGTCGACTTACAGTTCCCCCAAATGACCTCAGCGATATCCTCAGCATTCGACGACTCGCTGCCCCTTGAACACAGTAAGAGTGTTGTGCGCGTCGCTCTAAGAGCCCTTCGACTACTACAGTACAGACGCAAACACTCGTGACACTGAGCCCATCGTCCTACAGCAGCCTGTAAAGCTCTCACAGGGAAGGTTCTGAGCTATGGGATCCGTTTATGTTTCAGTATGTGTGGGTACATGTGGGCACCTGGCTTACTTCGTACTACCTATTCAACCTATTCGATGGATACTTACCAGTCTATTCTCAACACTCAACCTTAGCACGCGACCATCGTAGACGTCGCCGTCGGGGTAGATGAAGCGGCCCTGTGCAAGGAAAGTGCACAGTCTGCCGGCTCCGCTTTCGGATCCCCAGGCCTATCATCCTCTGCCACGAAGCCTGACATAGGAATCTGCTTAAGAGACCCTGAACCCTAAACCCTACTTGCACCCCACACAGGCAGCTGAGACCACAAACCGACGATCCCCAAAACTAAGCTTCTACGGCCGTGCATCCGAAACTACAAGGCCCAGAAGCATTCCGAGTATGAGGATGCTGGAATCGCTGAGTTTTCATTCGTGGAACCGCAGCAATCAAAAGAGGCCAATAGCCGAACACGGCTGAGCCCTGACATGTCATCCTGCTTCCTTCACCCTAAACCCCAAACCCTAAACCTCTAAACTCCTAAACCCTAAACCCTTAAACCCCAAACCCTAAACCTCTAAACCCTAAACCCCTAAACCCTGGCTCTGTCAGCTTTGGCTCCCGGCTTTGCTTTCCCCCAAGCCAGGCTCTAGAGACCCGAAACTCAAAGGGGAAAAGGAGGGACCCTTAATGGGGACCCCTACCGTATAATGGGCTATATAGTGGGTATATAATGGCTTTATTAAGGTTATATACCTATAGGGGTCCCTATCAAGGGTCCCTCCTTTTCCCCTTTGAGAATCGCCAAAACACCTCAACCCAACCACGCCGACGCCTGGAGCCCTAAATCCCAAAACGAGAGCACCGGACCAAACCCGAAGCTCATATCCTCGACGAATGTCCTTGCAGTAAGGATCCTATGGTTCTATATTCGGGAATCCAGTTTTCTGAAAAGCCCATATGTGAAACTTGCAGGGCTTCGGGCTTAGGATACTCTTACTGGTCGCCCTTTTCTTGTTAATTGCTATGAGTGGAAGAGAACTCGTGTGTCAATCCCAATCATGGCCTTCCCATGCTTCAAGCCATCCTTCCACTGACCTTCGTATCTGGAGCCATCGGGGAAGACCTGTCTGCTGAAGCAAGGGTTGTAACCTCCTACGATCACGCTTCAGGGTTTGGAGGTAGGGGTGTAAGGAACACCAAACCCTAAACCTGAAAGCCGAAAGTTCTTTCTGATTCAGGACTCCTTGAGGCTAAGCTTTTTGGCTTGCAGATGAAATCTCAACTCCTTGACCGGAACTGCAAAGTTTCAGCTGCACCACCCTGCTTTAGGAGCCGTAACATGAGGATTCTTTTTGAAATCCACGGATTTTACTATTCAAGGGTCGGCATGAAGAATAATGTAGGGGCCGTAACAATTAGATTAGGGCTTTGGGCCCCATTATACTATATGCATAAGAAGGAACCCCTCGAATAAATACAGAAAAAAGTGTAGGTAATCATGAAGGCCCCTAGATTATCACCATGAACATGGACTCAGTGAGTCTCTCTTAGAGGCAAACACTTCCAGACTTAGCCCAACTCGTCTCCAACAGAACACCAAACCCTCATCACAGCGACTTGCAAGCATGATCTCTGAACTGAATTCCTGAAACTCCAAGTGTACAAACCATAAACCACGCACTTTTTAGATAAGTTTAGCGACTATAAGGTTTGGGATGTTTTTCCCTACCCTAAACCCTAAACCCCCAAACCCCTAAACCCTAAACCCTAAACCCAAACCCTTAAACCCTAATACCCCCCCTTCTCCCTTCGGCCTTATAGTTGTAGCCATCTCCATCTGCTTGTGCAGCCGGCGCTCCAGGCTGCAGAAAGGAAGCAGGTGGGGGGTTTCCGCAAATACGGGACCCTAATTAATATATATATATATATATATATATATATACATATATATATACACATATTTATATATATATATATATATACATATATATATATATATACATAGCTATAGAGTTGTATAGTTATATAGTACCCGAAATAGTAGGATCCTTATTGTAAGGACCCCAAATAAGGTAGCCCTAGTTTTCGGAAACTCCCAGGTGTGGACATGTTCTATAGTTCTCTACTTCAGGAGCCACTGCTGGATACGGAAAAGAGCACACCACTCTTACCATGAGGACCTCGCCTTAAGCCGATACCCCCCCCCCCCTTAGAAGCATGATGAACATAGGATTTTATGTATCCTCCTGGGTTTCACATGCACAGGAAAGACAAAAACTCCAAGGAGACTATAGTACTCAAGGCACACGCAGCAGCCCTACACCCAAGCCCGAAGCCCTGCAGCTTCGGTTTAGGATTTTGGATTTAGGTTTCTTGGGTTTAGGGTTTAAGGTTTGGGACTTAGAGGGTTCAGGGTTTAGGGTTTGGGATTTAGGGTTTTGGGTGGTTTAGTGTTTAGGGTTTAGGATTTAGGGCGGTAAATTGTACTGCAGTTTAGGCGTTCAGGCTTTTTGGGGGGTACACATATACCTTAAGCCCCGGACATATCCTTGCACAGCATATACCCTGAATTGCAAACCCGCCCCAAACACCACACGCCAAAACTCGCCCTTCGAAACCTTCCGAAATTAGGGATCTAGTTTTGAGATGCATCCTGCTATTTAGGAATTTGGTTGGTGCTGTTGCGAAAACAATAGCGATGTCCGCCCGCCTGCAGCTCGAAGACCCCATCGCGCAATTGCATTTTGGTAAAGTGCAAATGTCACTTGCTAGATACTGCCAGATCACATGGAAACTGCACAAGTATCCAAACAGTGAGAGCCGAAGCCCGAAAGCCTAAACCCTAAACCTTCACAGCCCTAACCCCAAACCCTAAACCCTAAGCTCCAAACCCTAAACCCTAAGCTCCAAACCCTGAAACCCTAAGCTCGAAACCCTAAACCCTAAACCCTAACTGCCCGAAACCCCGAAACCCTGGCCTGCGCGGAGCTTTTCGCCTTTTGCTGGGAGGCGGGAGCCCCGGCTTGAACCGGCTGGGACCCAGCAAGCTGCTCCTGTCAGAATGAGTGGGATACCCAGTAACCTAAGAATAAGAAGGGGCTCCCTTTTTGGTATTGGGTACCTTTATAAGGAACCTAGGACTACAAAAAGGGAATAAGGGTACTACTGGGCATCCTAGATGAGTGGGGTTTCGGGATGAAGGTTGACTTGAGGGTCTAGACGGCTTATTATGGGCTTTAACTATGGGGTATAGGGTGTACGAGGTCAAGGGCTTAGGGTTTTTGGTAAGAGTTTTAGGGTCGATACTGTGAGGCAGTGTGGCAATGGTGTACGAGGATGGGTCCGCTTGCTCTATTGCTGCTTTTGCCGTGTTCGCGACTCGCCTCTCAGCGACTTCGGGGCGGCACATGGGATGCAAAGCCTCTTCCCGAAACCCAATATAATCAAAGCGAATTCATGGTACCCCTAAACCCTATACCCTAACCCTTATACCCCGTAACCCTGTTTGACGTATTGCAGATTGGTTTTTGGACAAACATCCGAAAGGAAGAAAATTCCGAATCGCTGAGTCTGCTTTGTGGACCCACAGACTTCCCAGCCCAAGCCGGCTGATGTCGCGCTGTACAGCATAACCATCTACCTTTAACACGTTTTTTGGGGGATATCCCGCTATGCAGCCATGAAATGAAGACCTCGTCTCAGCAATCAAACATGAAGCTTCAGGTGAAAGCTGCAAATCCCACACCCGAAATCCCAAAGGGCCTTGGGACTAAACAGAAGCACAAACCTGGACTCCCTAACTCCCTACCCTCCATGAAACCCATCATACCCACGACCAGCAACCGTCAACAATCCATCGTATCCGATCCAGGCGAAGGGTTCGATGTCCTGCTTTCTGAGGGCCTTGAGATTTAACAGCCTGCGACCCGATCCTCTGGGGCCTGCACCTTTTGGCTCTTTGGGAATATAGGGGCCTAAAATCATTACCAACACTGTTTTGGCGGGTTCCGCCTCATAACCAAAGTATCATGGGCCCCGAAACCCTATTCTAATTTAAGGCCTCTAGATTATGTAAGCTGTTCAGATTTTAAGGCTTTTCGGTTTAAGCGTGAAGATCTCGAGCTGAAGACTCGGGTTGTGCTTTTCGGCCCTGGGATTTTGGCTTCAGGATTTCGTCTTAGGGACTATAGACTCTAACAAGTTTGTAACCCAGCGATGTGGATTCTAAAGTTCTCACCCTGTCCTTCTGCCCCTGCTTGGCTTCAGAGCAGCAAGCCGTGCCCATCGCCTCGGTTCTTCAATTCGATTTGCAATAGGCAATAGGGTTTAGCGATAGTGTAGCGCCTAGAAAATTTCATCAACAAGCTGTCGCTCTACAACTCCAAGCCTCACAAATCAAACCCACAAACCTTAAGGTAAAAGCCAGAAAGTTGGAATATGATTATCCTAACCCTTCTATGGTAAATTATAGGGTATCCTACCCTGAAACTATATTCCAACTTTCTGGAGTTCCCTTTAAGGTCGTAAACCTACGACTCCCAACGGACCCGCTCCTGTAAACGCCCCCTGCAGTGAATGGGAACCCATCTCGAAGAGTTCTCTGAAATTTAAGCTCGCAACTAGGATGCCCAGTAACCTAGGAATAAAAAGGGGCTCCCTTTTTGGTATTGGGTACCTTTATAAGGAACCCAGGACTACAAAAAGGGAATAAGGGTACTACTGGGCATCCTAGGCCAAGTCTGTGTCCGAAGTGCAGAGGAGACCCCTGGCATGAATCGCATGGCCCTCCTCTGATACAAGTAGTTCGCAGAATTAGGGTCCCTCTTTTTAGGCCGAGCACCCTGAGAAAAAAGGATCCTGAAAGGGACCGTTACGGTTTAGGGTATAGGGTTTAGTGTTTAGGGTTTAGAACCACCCATTTAGGCTTGCGATATTGGGAAAGAAGAGCTAGGAAACACTTAGAAAAGGGCTTTCGGGCTGTTCTGCTATACCTGCAGCGGGACCGTGTTCCAAATTATTCGGCCCCTACACTGAGGGTTCATGGGCTTCGGGACGTGGGACCTTTTTTTGGTCTTCTGTATTGGGTCTATGGCCAGGAGCTCTGGGTCTACGTGCGGGCTTGCAGGGAAGCAGGGCACAGGCTACAGAAGGCGGAGGGCACCACAGAGGGGCAGCATCGTGATTCAGCCCCCTCTCCCTGAAAAAGATTGATCGGAAGCCGATGAGAAATCCGACAAAAGACCATGCTTGTGAAGTAAACCTCGATAGTTCTCGATTTTCAGCTGTGGGGACCGAGGCGAGGGCTAGGCGACGCCGGGCGCCAATTAGAGAACCCTAAGCAGTTGCAAGGAGATGACTGCGACTCTGCACCAGGTGGAGTAGGCTTTAGGAAGCCTAGGCTTTCGTCTGATCTTTGCTGGTATTGATCTGTTGTGGCTGGGGGTGTAAGTAAAGTTGACATCATGGATTGTTGACATCAATGAAATAAAGGGCCGCGTTCTGCCTGAGCCAACGAAGCGGAAGCATCCGAGCAGATCTCAGCATAAACTTTAAACCCGGAACTCTAAACCCCAAACCGTTAAAGTCTGTACTTCTACAGCTACGCTCATGCCCCTAAGCCCCAAACCTCGGAACCCAAAGGATCCGGGGCCCAAGCCCAAAATGGAAGCGCAAGGTGAACACCTAATGCCTTGTTGCTGCCATCGTCGTCATTGCGGTTGCTACAGATGTTGTCGATATTGTGGTCGCTCTTGGGGATCAGCCTGTTGCTACCATTGTCTCGTCGTTGTTGTTGTTGCTGCTGTGTTGTTTGAAGCTTGTTGGTTGTCGCTTGTCGCTCGTCGTTGGTCGGCGTCGGTTGTTGTTGCAGTTACTATTGCCGTTGCTCTTGCCGTTGCTGCTGTTGTTGTTGTTGCTGTCGTGGTCGTTGTTGCTTTTGTCGTGGTTTTTGTCGTTGTTGCTGCTGGTGTTTCTGCTGCTGTTGCTGTCGGCGTTGCCGCTGCCCGTGCCATTGCCGTTGCGGTTGCTGTCAATGTTGGCGTTGCTGTTGTTGTTGCTGTTGCCACAGCCATTGCCGAGTTGAAACCTCGAGGCTCGGACACATCCCCCAGCCACAACATCCCATGCCTTTTCTTCGAGAGACCTTCGCATTGAGGTGAAAATCCAGAAGTTCTGAACGTCAGCTAGTTGCACACTGGGCTTCCTGGTGTCGACTGCCTCCCTCCTTCGCGATACCCTAAACCCTAAATCCTCATCGACTTTACAACCACAGCTTGAAATGAGTACTTAAGCACGAGTTGAGGACGCTTTATCCTCGCTCGTGCTGCCCAGGATTGCACGATGCATAAAAAACTGCGAATTCAAAGTGGCGGCTGCTGAATATCTGTTTGAAAGGCACATGTCGCCAGAGAGAGCATTCGCGCTGCCCGGGTGCTCCGATGGTCCAAATGCCATCTGCCCAACGGTTCCGGCAACATCCCCCAAACGTGTTGCACGTAGCAGTACTACGAGGGCCTTAACAGCTGGAATAGTGAATAGGGCTTTTGTGTAGTTCTGCGATACCATAGCCATAATCATAAGGATAAGGAACCCCAAAATAGGATTGGTAGTTATTCAACATTACACCCTTGACCCTGCAATAGATTCTGGTCCCTGGCAGAACGATCCTCTCCTGGCACAGGTCAGCGCACGCCCTCAAAAAACTGCTCGGACGAGAGATGGCCAAGTGCTAGCTTCGGGGTTTCGGATGGAATCCTCGGGGTGCGACATGGGAGTTTCCCAAAATAGGGGACCCTAATATGGTACCCTAAATAGTAGGATCCTTATTATAAGGGCCCCTAAATAAGGTACCCCTAATTTTCGGAAACTCCCAAATCAGGCTAAGCAATGGTTTATGTCATGCTCAACGCTGAACAAGCTACATCGGGCGAGTCTTCGGAAGCCATCTCCGGCCCGGTGGTCATTCGGGGGGTCATTCTATTCTTGGATGGCACGCTGTCCTTTTCCAAAAAGTAACTTGTTAACAGCCGAAGGGGCCCTTAACATCCCTTATCTGTTTTTTTATCAAACACAGCTTTTGCTTTTTGTTTTTAATTAAAAACAGATGTTTTTAAATAAATCCCGTCTTAGAGCAACCCCCTCAATCTCAGCTCTGCAGTTTGAAGGAGGGAAGGTCGTCGCGTCCGGCGAGACTGCGAAGGGCTCGGGGCTTCGGCTTCGGGCTGATTGGGCTTAGGGTTTAGGGGGTTTAGGATTTAGGGTTTAGAGTTCTTTGGATTTTGGGGTTGAGGATTTAGGGTTTTTTGGAGTTTGGGGTTTAGGATTTAGGGTTTTTTGGAGTTTGGGGTTTAGTTAGGGCTTTAGGGCTTTAGGGTCTTAGGGGTTTCGGGGTTTGGGGTTCGGGGCTTCGGGTTTAGGGTTTTGGGGTTGCGGGCTTTGGGGTTTAGGGCTTCGGGTCGGTAGGCTTCGGAGTGTTCGGGTTCGGGTGCCGGTCCGAAGGGTGTTTAAGTATCGGCACTGAGGCTCTGAGGCGATCAGGGTACCTTGGCTTACCGTTCCCAGGTTCTGGAATCCTGGAAAGAGTCGGCAGGGGTTGGGCTGTTTCCGCTTGAAGTCGCTCAAGAGCGATGAAGGTCCTAGTTGCTTGCTTGCTTGGGGCTGTAGGCTCAGGGGAATCTGAAATAAAGCCATCAAAGGGCTGGACTTAGTTGCTCAACCCTGATGCCTGGAAGACCCCATAGTTTCTTGGCCATCGAGATTGAACCCATGCCCTGCTCGAACACAAGCCTGCAACAAAGTAACTACAACCCCCGAAGCTCGTTCAAAAGAACTGCAGAGGTTTAACTTCCAGATTGAATGCTGCTCCAAAAACACTAAAGCACCAAAGCTCTGACCACACGGATGCCCAAATCCGCATACCACAACAGACACGGATGCCCAAATCCGTAAACCACAACAGACACGGATGCCTAAATCCGTAAACCTCAACAGGAATGCATTTCGCCCCATTTTCCCATCCATGAATCCAGCATTTTTGCAGAGTGAAGCTCCTTCATCCGAGCAGCCAGCCGCTGGGTTCTTGCTAAGGAACTCTGTTCTGTAATTCAAGCTACCATAATAGTGATCTATATTCAATAATATAGCTTCCTTATTCGTATTCTAGTAACTTAAAGTTAAGCCCCGGAACAAGAAGCTAGGCCGGACTCCCGACGACCCCCAAAGTTGAACCTTAAAGCTCCAAACCCCATCAGCCCTGATCCCAGAGATCTCCCGCAGCCCAAGAGCTGTTCAAGGACCCCAAAATCATAACACATACTTATTGACAAGTTCCTGGGTAGCCCCTTTATAGTAGGCGTACCTTCGGTTTCATGAAGGGAACCCTAAACCAAACTGGGCAAAAGGGTACTACTCAGGAACCTTGTATAGGGGCCTTGATAAATCAAACAGGGTTTGGGGTAAATTATACTATAATCACAATAAAGAACCACCCACCCCCCTCAAAAAAAAAAAAAACCAAGTGTTGGTACTTGTTGAGGCCGCAATACTAGTAGTATGTCAACCCTGCTTTCGAAAAGCTGCCCACAATCTCAGTGCACTTCCCGCAGCACGTCGGCCTGGCGACATGGAGGGGGGGGAGGTTAGGGTTCAGGGGCAGTCGGTGTGTTGTTCGAATTATGGGCTTTCGAAGTTGAAGGTTCAAAGTTGAGGCATGCAGCCTTGAGGATGGTCAGGATGAGCTTCAGCCACCTTCCGTCAAAAATCCTGCTTTACTGCAGAGCCCCCTTGGAAATCCAAGCCCCAGGATAACTCGTTTTTCGATCAACATCCACTCCGGCACATCCACGGGTGACCTCATTTTGACAGGGCGTGGCACTGACGGACATCAAAATTAACATCCTCACCCCTGAACTCCAATCTTAATGTATCGGAAGCACCAGCACGAGTACCGCCCTACAGTTCCTAGCCATTGTAAAGTAGAATGTTCCTTACTACATCGCTAGCGCAAAGACTGATTGAATGAGGACTCGGTGGTTTAGGGCTTGGCTGAGGCAGGGAAAGGAAACAAACGACTTGGAACACAGTCTTCGGACAGCTGACTTGTAAGAGATCAAGAAACTTGAATCAGATTGCCCTGCCTGAACCTTCGCCAGGCTCTTTGCGACCAGCGCCAGACGTGGATCATCTGGTTTCACGGTTTCTCTACAAATCTGCAATGCCTTCTCCAGAAACTCCTGCTGCTTCCAGTGGTCGCCGAGCCTCGCAAGCCCTAGGCTCAGATGGTGGAGTGCCATTGCTACTTCCAGGTGCTCCGGCCCGTAGTGTTGCTCCTTGATTCTCAGGCCGTGCTCAAGAAGTTCCTTCATCTGGCAGTAGTCTCCGAGTTCGCACCTCTGGGCGGCAAGAACTATGATTTGTGGACCGAAGACTAGGGCTTTAGAGTAAGAGCTTCGGGCTTTGGGCTTTAGAGTAAGAGTTTCGGGCTTTGGGCTCGAAGGTTTTGAGGGTTCAGGAAAGTCAGGGTTTAGGGTCTCAGGGTTTAGGCACTTTAGGGGGTTTAGGCTCTTCGCGTTTGTCAGGACGGCATGGTTTTTAATATCGGGTCCGGGCGTACGACTTTGGCTTCGGGGCGTGTATTGCTTGCTTGGGATCTAAAACCTAACCCATGATTTCAGAAATCCCACAATTTAAAACCATTTTGCAAACAGATATTTTCGCAGCGAGGATTTGGGAGCCTCTAAAACCAGTCAGTTATAAACTAATCTAGGCCCACGCAGAGTTGCAGCAAACTTGGATAGCTTGAAGTTGAGCGAGCTTTGGTGGTTTAGGAACTAGGGGTACCCTATTCGGAGTGCTCGATGTAAGGGATCCCGGTACTTGGGGACTTTTTCATGCCCCCCCTGTGCCCCGCTTTCGGCCATCTTCAGATAACAGAAACACCACTGCACTTCAAACACCTGAGGGCCGACGTGAAAGCTCCGCATTACCTGGCCCTGACGAAGACAAATATCGTACATACCCTTTTACCCCAATACTGAATATTCTCATCACCCTAGACTCTTTGCGTGAGTGAGTCAGTGTTATGTGTCTGTCTCGCTCTCTGTGTGTGTGTGTGTGTGTCTCTGTCTGTGCTCCTCACTGCTGTGCCATAACAAGTCTGTCAAACTTGCAAGCACTCTCAGTAGCAGGCGTATGTTCATTGCTGCATTCATTCCGTGATCAGGTGCGCCAAAAGATCGCCTCGGACATTCAAACACCCGCATGAAATGTGATGGCAACTGTACGCGCAAGTCGAGTTGTTCATGCCTCCGTGCCTAAAACAACATCAGATCCGGAAACCCGAAGCACACAGTTTTGGGGTGCAGGTTTGGGTTTCAGGCTCTTGGCTCTTAGGGGTTTCAGGGTTAGGGTATCAGGGATTGAGAGCGCAGAGTCTCAGAGTCCAGACCTGAGCCTTTGCAACCCCCAAGCCCTAAGGATTCAAAGCTTCAGGGTCTAAGGGCTTAAGGGTTCAGGAGAACGGGCTTCAAAGCACTAGGGCTCAAGGGTTCTTTCAGCCTCTTTAGGTTCATATCATATCTATTACCGGTCCGGTCTCTGCACTGCAAGATGAGAACCCCTGGGCCAGCGACCGAAGTAGCTGTGCACGGTCGTCATCATGATCTCCTGCTGCTTCCGGAATCCAAAGCCTTTCAACCTTAATCCAAAAACAAACATGGTACGCCATAGCCCTAGACTCTATCTACAGTTCAAACGCAGTACAAGATTTGGGACGTGATGGATGGGCTTCAAGCAGTTAAACTTCTAGTTCGGTGTGGCCATCCAGCAGCCGTAATATCGGGGCCTTAATTAATGGGTCGATTATACAATAATTATAATTCCTAAGGAACCCCAAAAATGTATAGGTAATTGTTACGGCCCCTACATTATTTGGATGGCTTTCACGGCCAGGCTCCTCCAAATCATTCCTCCACCTTCGCAACTTCAACGGCAACTAAAGCTCGAAGGATTGATGATTTACCCTAAACTATGGGAATTATGGTATATTCCTTATTATGGGTAATGCAGGATTTATATCATCAAAAGAAGGATTCTGATTCTGAGCAGTCCGGGATGCCAGGCGAAAGGCTGGCGCGTTGCAACCGAAAACTTGTTCCGCCATCCCGAACTCTGCAACATCACTTGAGTTCACGAACTCCTACGAGTACTGGGCCCTAAACCTTGAAGGGGGCTACGATTTTGAAAAGGCTCCTTGGCCGCAGTAGCTCATTGCGTGCTCTTGCCGAAGTGCATCGTAGCCTGGCAATGCAGGGCCGGATCACCAATGGCAGCCAGGAGAGATCGAAAGTACGGTTCGGCGTATGAGGGTTTTCATTGTGGTCAGTCACCAGAGATATTATCAGAAGATAATGGGACCACGACATGCTCTGCATAGGAATCTTGCTCAAGTCATCGAGAAAAGAACACTAGAGTGTCAGAAGTGCCCGAATAAGGCCCTGAAGAGCCAAACGCAGCTCCTGCCTCACACCCCAAACCGGCAGTCCTTCCCTATACAATACCCTAACCCTGATTGGAAAGGCCCAAACAAACGCAAATGAGCTCTTTCGTAACCAGGCCTGCATGGGATGTAAGCAGACTGTTGTTGTCAAAACAACCCCCCTGTAGGCCCTGTAGCTGAATATTCTATATCATCATGAAAACATGGTTCTCATTACTAAGGCTGTCAACCGTTCTAATTAAGTCCCTGTATATAAACCCGGAATAAGCCAACCACCAAGCTTGCTCCCCCGCCTCATATGTGAAGCAGTCCGAGCAGCCGTGCGCAGCTGCCAAAATTAACCTGAAGCTGTACGTCCCTGGTTTGGAAAGGGCTTCATAGCTTATTTGATCTAAAACGATGTGGATAGAGCGTTGGGCAGTGTTGTAGTCTAGGTACTTAGAGACTACAAGAGGATACTAGGCTGGCCGTGTCAAGCCGTTGAACACTATTCGTGAATAAAACCTTGGCTCAACTAGGGATACGTCAATCAAATGTCCCAAAGGTCCACCTAGGATAGTGTTACTGTTGTCACGTTTTGGAATCCCAATGTTGGGCCCAGCCTGTAGGGTTCGGGGTATTCAACAGCGCACAGCAGGGTGGTAATATATGTATGTACGTACTTAAAGAATCTATGCACGAACACATGTATGTGCG